AATTCGATAAATCGAGAAATAAAAAAAAATGGAAAATTAAAAAAAAAAAGGAAAATTAAAACATCGAAAAGTTGAAAAAAACTTCAGAAATCGAAGTATGTATAAAACTGTCGAAAATTTGAAAAAGCTAAAGTTTAACGAAAAATTGACAAACCAAAAAATAAAAAAGGGGTGGAAACCCAAAAACTGCAAACTGAAAAATTTAAAAATTGGAAAATCGACGAATTGGAATCGATTGGCCTGAAAATTTGAAAAATTGAATAAACGAAAAATTGGAAAATCGAAAGAAACAACAAAAATTAAGGAAATGAGAAAACAAAAAACTGTGATATAAAATCGAGAAAAATAAAAAATCAGGAAAATGGAAAATAAAAATCGGGGAGTTGAAACATTTAGTGGACGAAAAATTGAAAAAGGGAAAAGTTAAAAATCGTGAATGTGAAAAATGGAACAATGACAAACTGTAATATTGAAAAATCAAAAATAAAAAACGAAAAATTCTAAGTATAATAAAAACTTGAAAAATGTAAAAAGTGAAAAACAAACTTGAAAATTTGAAGAAAAATCGAAAAAAACCTGAAAATTTGAAAAATTGAATAAACGAAAAATTGTAAAATCGAAAGAAACAACAAAAAATAAAGGAAATGAAAAAACAAAAAATTCTGAGATAAAATCGAAAAAGTGCAAATTAAAAAACCGGGAAAATGAAAAATAAAAATCTGAAACAAAAAATTGGAAAAGGGAAAAATTAAAAATTGAGAAACTGAAAAATCGAAAAATGAAAAACTGTAATATTGAAAAATTGCCAAATTGAAGAACTGATGCAAACCGAAAAATTTAAGGCACGAAAAGTTGAAAATTTTGGAAGTGGAGAAATTCTAAAATTGAAAAATCAAAAATAAAAAACGAAAAACTTATAAACCGAAAAATCGAAACATCGAAAAATTCAAAAACTGAGACAATCAAAACATCGATATATCGAGCTCTCAAAAAATTGAAAAATCGAAAAATAAAAAATTCGGACAAAAGATAAATGAAAATATACAAAAACTGAAAACTCGAAAAATTCAGAAATCGCAATATAGATAGAACAGTCGAAAATTGAAAAATCTAAATTTTAAAAAACGAAAAACTGAAAATCCAAAAAATAAAAAATCGGAAAGTCGAAAAATAGAAATATTGAAAAATCCCAAAACTGAAACAAATATTCAAAATCGAAACTGCGAATTCGAGAGACGGGAAAATCAAAAAAAATATATTAATTGAAAAATCGGAAAACTGAAAATTTAGCAACGTCAAAATTTGAAGAATTGGAAAATAGAAATATTGAAGAACTGGAAAATTAAAAAATCCAGAAATCGAAAAATCTAAAATTTAAAACATTGGACAATTGAAGTATCGCAAAATTGAAAAATGGAGAAATGCAAACATCAAAGAATCCAAAAAGAAAAATTCGAAAATCTGAAACTAAAAAGTCGAAACATCGAAAAATTGGAAAATCGGAAAACCGAGAAATCCAAAAATCGAAACATCGAGAAAAAGAAAAAAATTGCGAAATAAAAAAAATTGAAAAATTGTAAAAAAAGAAAAATTAAAACATCGAAAAGTTTAAAAAAAACTGAGAAATCGAAGTATAAAACTGTCGAAAATTTGAAAAATCTAAAGTTTAACGAAAAATTGAAAATCCAAAAAGTAAAAAAGGGGTGGAAACCCAAAAACTGCAAACTGAAAAATTTTAAAATTGGAAAATCGACGAATTGGAATCGATTGGCCAGAAAATTTGAAAAATTGAATACACGAAAACAACAAAAATTAAGGAAATGAAAAAACCAAAAATTGTGATATTAAATCGAGAAAATGTAAAATAAAAATCGGGGAGTTGAAAAATTTAGTGGACGAAAAACTGAAAAAGGGAAAATTAAAAATCGAGAATGTGAAAAATGGAAAAATGAGAAATTGTATTATTGAAAAATTGGAAAATTTGGAAGTCGACAAACTATAAAATTGAAAATCAAAAATAAAAAAACGAAAAAGTGTAAGTACAATAAAAATTTGAAAAATGTAAAAAGTGAAAATCAAACTTGAAAATTTGAAGAAAAATTGAAAAAAAACTGAAAAATTGTAAAATCAAAAGAAGCAACAAAAAATAAAGGAAATGCAAAAACGAAAAATCCTGATATAAAATCGAAAAAGTGAAAATTAAAAAACCGGGAAAATGAAAAATAAAAATCGGAAACAAAAAATTAGAAAAGGGAAAAATAAAAAAATTGAGAAACTTAAAAACCGAAAAATGAAACACTCTACTATTGAAAAATTAAGAATTGAAAAAGTGAAAAATAAAAAAAAAAGAAATATGTATTTTGAAACAGAAATATTGAAAATTAAAGAAATCGGAAAATCGGAAGACTGGAAATCCAAAAACTGCAAAGTAAAAATTTAAAAATTGAAAAGTGGACGAACTGAAAATTCAAAGCCTGAAAATTTGAAAAATTGAATAAATGAAAAATTGTAAAATCGAAAAAAAAAACACAGAAAATAAAGGAAATGAAAAAACGGGCAATTGTATATAAATCGAGAAAATAAAAATTAAAAATTCGCCACATTGAAAAATAAATATCGGAAACATGAAAAATTGTGGAAACGAAAAATTGAGAAACTGAAAATTCGAAAAATTGACGAAACGAAAAATTGAAAAATCGAAACAAACAACAAGAAATAAAGGAATTGAAAAAATGAAAATTTGTGACATAAAAGCGAGAAAATGAAAATTAAAAAAATCGGGAAAATGAAAAATAAAAATTGAGAACTTAAAAAATTGCAACTCGAAAAATTGAAAAATTTAGAAATCAAGAAACTGTAAAATTGAAAAATCAAAAATTAAAAAACGAAAAAGTATATAATGAAAACTTGAAAATGTCAAAAGTGAAAATCAGACAAGAAAATTTGAAGAAATGAAAATTTGAAAAATCGAAAGATTAAAAATTGAAAAACTTAAAATTCGAAAAAGTGAAAAATAAAAAAAAGAAATATGTATTGTAAAATCAAAATATTGAAAATTAAAGAAATTGAAAAACTGGAAGACTGGAAATCCAAAAACTGCAAAGTAAAAATTTAAAAATTGAAAAATAGACGAACTGAAAATTCAAAGCCTGAAAATTTGAAAAATTGAACAAATGAAAAATTGTAAAATCGAAAAAAAACACAGAAAATAAAGGAAATGAAAAAACGGACAATTATGATATAAATCGACAAAATAAAAATTAAAAATTCGCCACATTGAAAAATTAAAATCGGAAACATGAAAAATTGTGGAAACGAAAAATTGAGAAACTGAAAATCCGAAAAATTGACGAAACGAAAAATTTAAAAATCGAAAGAAACGTTAATAAATAAAGGAATTGAAAAAATGAAAATTTGTGACATAAAACCGAGAAAATGAAAATTAAAAAAATCGGGAAAATGAAAAATAAAAATTGAGAACTTAAAAAATTGCAACTCGAAAAATTGAAAAATTTAGAAATCAAGAAACTGTAAAATTGAAAAATCAAAAATAAAAAAACGAAAAAGTATATAATGAAAACTTGAAAAATGTCAAAAGTGACAATCAAACATGAAAATTTGAAGAAACGAAAATTTGAAAAATCGAAAGAAACGTCAAGAAATAAAGGAATTGAAAAAATGAAAATTTGTGACATAAAACCGAGAAAATGAAAATTAAAAAAATCGGGAAAATGACAAATAAAAATTGAGAACTTAAAAAATTGCAACTCAAAATATTGAAAAATTTAGAAATCAAGAAACTGTAAAATTGAAAAATCAAAAATAAAAAAACGAAAAAGTATATAATGAAAACTTGAAAAATGTCAAAAGGGAAAATCAAACATGAAAATTTGAAGAAACGAAAATTTGAAAAATCCAAAAAGATTAAAAATTGAAAAAGTTAAAATTCGAAAAAGTGAAAAATAAAAAAAAAGAAATATATATTGTAAAATCAAAATATTGAAAATTAAAGAAATTGAAAAATGGGAAGACTGGAAATCCAAAAACTGCAAATTGAAAATTTTTAAACGTGGGAAATCATGGAATTGAAAAATCAAAGCCTGAAAATTTGAAAAATTGAATAAATAAAAAATTGTAAATCGAAAGAAACAACAAAAAATAAAGGAAATAATGAAACCAAAATTGTGATATAAAATAGAGAAACGTCGAGAAAACATAGAATGAGTCAATCGCCAGATGGATCTCTTTACTGCGTTATCACCAAAAAATCTCTAAATCGAATCTTTCAATTAGACAAAACTGAGTATGTTATACCGGACTTGAAGAGCGAGGAAAATGCTGTCTAAATAACTTTAGACCAATTTTTATAATTCAACAATTTACATAGAGTATCAAAAATAAAACATCGATAGCTTTCGAATAATTTTGAATGACGAAAGAATTAAATGGGATGAAAACTGTCCCAAACCAGGCCGGGTGATACCTAGCCAATTTCTTCCAACTTCAACCAACTTCTCCGTCTGCACGAACCCATCCTTCCTCGGCTCAGTTCCTCGCCGCTTCACACCCGAGCTCTCGAATTTTTCCATAATTCTCCCATCAGAATCAATAACCCGAATCGGCGATGATTTAAATTCAATTCTTCTCCGGGTAGGTGTAAATTTACGAGCTGGTGATTACGACCTCTGGCGACGCTTGCGAAAGCCGCCACGTACGCGCATCGCCTTTCCTCCTGCGACACCCTCCTGGACGGAAGAGTCGCTGCATTGTCGGGAGATGGTGAGTGATTGCCCATTGTGGCGCCCACACGCGCACCAACTTGACCCGACCTGCCCTCCTGGCAGGTGAACGCATCTACATATATAATCAAGTCTAAAGGTGAAAGACACCGCGCCACCAAAATAACACACAATTTGATTAACTTTCACGGAGAGCAAAAGTGGCGCCAAAAATCGCGCCACAGGCCACATCCGAACCGTAAAACCAATAAAAGTGACTGTAAAGCTGTGTAGCTGTCGCTTTATTTATCTATAAATTCGCCTAAAAATATACAACGTTTGTGTTTCGACAAGATGGTGCTCCACTACGCTGCTGCGAGTTCTGCTGGGCCTGTGGGAACTTTTTAGCCCATGGTTTCCGCTCCGGGAAATGCAAATGGTGTTGTTGTTGGTCGTGTGGTGATTTTGGGCAGCGTGTCTGATGTCACTGGACACTGTCATAAATCAAAGCGAACATGTCGAGCTTCGTTCATTCAGTCGGCGCAGGTTGGACGGGGCCATGAACTTATGTAAATGCGACTCTATTCATGAAATATAGAAATTTGAATCTAAAAAAGGAAACACGAATACAAAAGAATTCATAATGTACTGTAAAGTTGCGTTCTAACATATTTATGTTCACACGTAGGCTTTCGGGCTAATCAGAACGCCATTATTTAGGAGATTTTCAATTACGAAAGCGGATTGGGCGAATTTCGGCGAGGTGACGTGAGTGCTCGTGCGTTGGGAGTCGCTTGTTTATGTAGTCGTTACGTGACGATGTAACAAAAAGAGGAAAATGCGAAAATGCGCAAGGAAATAAACGCACAGGTGCCGCACTAATTAATTCCTCGCGAAAGCGCTTGCGGTATGCGGTAATTAAATCGTGAGAAACCGTCCGAATGCCACAAAGATAAATAGTCGCGTATTCCTCCCGGCAGAATGAATGCGACAAATAAATTACAATTACATATCACATTAAGAAAGTTGACAAAGCTGCGGTAGTACAGGATTAAATAGCTAATTAACTGCTTGTCGGATTCCTCCTCCAACGCCGAGACCTCCCTGCGCGCTCGAAATTTAAGAAGCGGACACAATTTTGACTCTCCGGACTCACTCACGCACTTTCAATTTCAGTTATATAATTTTCTCGACCTAGACTACGAAAAAATAGGTCTCCCTGCCAAATGTCAAACCCGTCGCGCCCCCACCTTACGTCATCCCAGCGCCATTTTTCCTAACCTCCAACCCACTTGCCGCGCTCTCGCCGCTTCTCACAATCACTCCATAATTGCAGGTCTCGCTAATTGCATTCTTCCCATCTCCATCGACGTCGACGTCTCAAGGCGTAATACACCGCCCGTCAATCGGCGGACTTAATCCCACAGCCCACTTCGTCAAAATTCGGCGCTTCGTGCGCTCCGGCTTTGCTAATCTCGACAGCGCGTCGAAAAAATCCAGGAAGAGGAAGCGGCCCGGGATTTTTTCGAGCACGAACAAGAAATACGGTAAGGTGCTTCCTGCGGCGCGACCCGGCCGAAAAAATCGCGCAGATGGCTGGATCGGGAGATTGGGGGTACCGGAAGGACGGTGGCGCACACGTGCGCACTTTTCGCGAAACGCTTCTTCTTAGCTGTCATTTACCGCAAGGCCGGCCCACTCTTGCGATACGCTCATTACGGCCCACGTTGGGAGATTATGAGGTGATTTGACGATGGAGAAGATTGATTCTAATTATGCGATCGGGGCCGAAAAATCGCGTGTGGTGAGGTGGTTCGACAGGCGATGCGGAAGTGGAGGCAGGTTGGCGGGTTTAAATTGGTAAATTTACCGTATTTGGCGGAGAGCGACATTTCGGTAACGAGGTTTGGATGGCGAAAGCTATTTAAAATAAAACGATGGGGATTTCGAATTTTTGATGGATTTTCTAGGAGAAAGCAGCTGCAAAACTTGAAAAAAGGAAAAAATGATGTAACGAAAATAAAAGCGATGGTCAAGTTCGTGATTTTTTTATGTTTCTGGTCAGAAACCTTTTCTATTTTAAAATATATGTGAAAAATTTGCTTATAGACGGTGTTCAGAAGCAATAACGTTTTATCAAAAATTTTATATCAATTTTGGAAACTGGGGGAAATTATAGCGGTGAGAAAGTGTTTATTCTTTGCATTTAATTTTCTGTATACAAGAATTTTTAATCGGGTCATTATTGAAAAGGATTTAGCTCGGGATTTACCATGCTGGTGATTTAATTCAAGATTAAAACACCAGAAGCGACCAAATTTTTTCCAAATTTCCCCTAAAAAACACCAGAGGCCCTCAAGTTGTTTAAAATTTTTCTAAGACAAAAAAAACACCAGAAGCTACCAAGGGTTAATTAAAGCATCAGAGGCTCCTGAGACTGTTTCAAATTCTTCCAAATTAAAACACCAGAGTTGGCCAAACATTTTTCAAACTTCTCCTAAAAAAACACCAGATGCTCTCAAGATTATTTAAAATTTTTCGAAGACAAAAAAAAACAAAGGCTACCAAGATTTAATTAAAGCATCAGAAGCTCCTAAGACTGTTTCAAATTCTTCCAAATTAAAGCACCAGAGTTGGCCAAAAAGTTTTCAAACTTCTCCTAAAAAAACATCAGAGGCTCTCAAGATCCTTTAAAATTTTTCTAAGATAAAAGAATCACCAGAGACTCTCAACATTTAATTAAAGCTTCAGAGACGTTCAAGATCGTTTCAAATTTTTCCAAACTAAGACAGAAAGGGCTCTCAAGATTCTTTCAAATTTCTCCTAAAAACACCAGAAGCCCTCAAGATTGTTTAAAATTTTTCCAAAAAACAAAAGAAACACCGGAGACTTCCAAGATTTAATTAAATCAACAGAGGCGCCCAAGATCGTTTCAATTTTCCAAGCTAAGACAGAAAGGGCTCTCAAGATTCTTTCAAATTTTTCTAAAAAAAAAAATTCAGAGGCTCCCAAAATTGTTTCAAATTCTTCCAAATTAAAACACTAGAATTGGCAAAACATTTTTCAAACTTCTCCTAAAAAAACACCAGAGGCTCTCAAGATTCTTTAAAATTTTTCTAAGACAAAAGAAACACCAGAGGCTCCCAACATTTAATTAAAACTTCAGAGGCGTTCAAGATCGTTTCAAATTTTTCCAAACTAAGACAGAAAGAGCTCTCAAGATTCTTTCAAATTTCTCCTAAAAACACCAAAGGCCCTCAAGATTGTTTAAAATTTTTCCAAAAAAACAAAAGAAACACCGGAGGCTCCCAAGATTTAATTAAATCATCAGAGGCGTCCAAGATTGTTTCAAATTTTTCCAAACTAAGACGGAAAGGGCTCTAAAGATTCTTTCAAATTTTTCCAAAAAAAAAAAAAAAATTTAGAGGCTCCCAAGATTGTTTCAAATTCTTCCAAATTGAAACACCAGAATTGGCAAAACATTTTTCAAACTTCTAAAAAAACACCAGAGGCTCTCAAGATTCTTTAAAATTTTTCTAAGACAAAAGAAACACCAGAGACTCCCAACATTTAATTAAAGCTTCAGAGGCGTTCAAGATCGTTTCAAATTTTTCCAAACTAAGACAGAAAGAGCTCTCAAGATTGTTTCAAATTTCTCCTAAAAACACCATAGGTCCTCAAGATTGGTTAAAATTTTTCCAAAAAACAAAAGAAACACCGGAGACTTCCAAGATTTAATTAAATCATCAGAGGCGTCCAAGATCGTTTCAAATTTTTCCAAGCTAAGACAGAAAGGGCTCTCAAGATTCTTTCAAATTTTTCTAAAAAAAAAAATTCAGAGGCTCCCAAAATTGTTTCAAATTCTTCCAAATTAAAACACCAGAATTGGCAAAACATTTTTCAAACTTCTCCTAAAAAACCACCAGAGGCTCTCAAGATTATTTAAAATTTTTCTAAGACAAAAGAAACACCAGAGACTCTCAACATTCAATTAAAGCTTCATAGACGTTCAAGATCGTTTCAAATTTTTCCAAACTAAGACAGAAAGAGCTCTCAAGATTCTTTCAAATTTCTCCTAAAAACACCAGAGGCTCTCAAGATTATTTAAAATTTTTCTAAGATAAAACAAAAACAGCAGAGACTCCCAACATTTAATTAAAGCTTCAGAGGCGTTCAAGATCGTTTCAAATTTTTCCAAACTAAGACAGAAAGAGCTCTCAAGATTCTTTCCAATTTCTCCTAAAAACACCAAAGGCCCTCAAGATTGTTTAAAATTTTTCCAAAAACAAAAGAAAACGGAGGCTCCCAAGATTTAACTAAATCATCAGAGGCGTCCGAGATCGTTTCAAATTTTTCCAAACTAAGACGGAAAGGACTCTAAAGATTCTTTCAAATTTTTCCAAAAAAAAAAAAAAATTTAGAGGCTCCCAAGATTGTTTCAAATTCTTCCAAATTAAAACACCAGAATTGGCAAAACATTTTTCAAACTTCTCCTAAAAAAACACCAGAGGCTCTCAAGATTCTTTAAAATTTTTCTAAGACAAAAGAATCACCAGAGACTCCCAACATTTAAATAAAGCTTCAGAGGCGTTCAAGATCGTTTCGAATTTTTCCAAGCTAAGACAGAAAGGGCTCTCAAGATTCTTTCAAATTTTTCTAAAAAAAAAAATTCAGAGGCTCCCAAGATTGTTTCAAATTCTTCCAAATTAAAACACCAGAATTGACAAAAAAATTTTCAAACTTCTCCTAAAAAAACAGCAGAGACTCTCAAGATTATTTAAAATTTTTCTAAGACGAAAGAAACACCAGAGGCTCCTACCATTTAATTGAAGCATCAGAGGCGTTGAAGATCCTTTCAAATTTTTCCAAGCTAAGACAGAAAGGGCTCTCAAGATTGTTTCAATTTCTCCTTAAAAGCACCAGAGGCCCCAAGATTATTTAAAATTTTTCTAAGACAAAAGGAACACCGGAAGCTCCCAAGATTTAATTAAATCTTTAGAGGCGTCCAAGATCGTTTCAAATTTTTCCAAACTAAGACGGAAAGGACTCTAAAGATTCTTTCAAATTTTTCCAAAAAAAAAAAAAAATTTAGAGGCTCCCAAGATTGTTTCAAATTCTTCCAAATTAAAACACCAATTTTTCCAAGTTAAGACAGAAAGCGCTCTCAAGATTGTTTCAAATTTCTCCTTAAAAAAACCAGAGGACCCTTAAGATTGTTTAAATTTTTTCTAAGACAAAAGAAACACCAGAGGCTCCCAAGATTTAATTAAAGCATCAGAGGCGTCCAAGATCGTTTCAAATTTTTCAAAGCTAAGACAGAAAGAACTCTCAAGTTTGTTCAAATTTTTCAAAAAAAAAAACTCAGAGGCCCCCAAGATTGTTTCAAATTCTTACAAATTAAAACACCAGAAGCGGCCAAAATTTTTTCAAATTTCTCCAAAAAAACACCAGACTGTTTAACATTTTTCCAAAAAAAAAAAAAAAAAAACACCAGAGGTCCGCGAGATTTAATTAGAGCACCAGAGGCGGCCAGGATCGTCTCAAATTCTTCCGAGCTAAGACAAAAAGAACTCTCAAGATTGTTTAAAATTTTTCCAAAGAAAAAAATCAGAGGCTCCTAAGATCGTTTCCAATTCTCCGAGCCAAGACAGAAAGCACACTCACGATTGTTTAAAAAATTTTTCAAAAAAAAAATATTTAGAGGCGCTTAAGACGTTTCAAATTCTTCAAAAAAAAACCACAAGAGGCACTCAAAATCATTTTAAATTCGTACAAGCATAGACAGAAAGGGCTCTCAAGATTGTTTCAAATTTTTCAAAAAAAAAAATCAGAGGCTCCTAAGATTGTTTCAAATTCTTCCAAATTAATACACCAGAGGCGGCCAAAATTTTTTCAAATTTCTCTAAAAAATTACCAGAAGCCTCAAGATTGTTTAACATTTTTCAAAAAAAAAACACCAGAGGTTTCTAGCGCCTAAGATCGTTTCAAATTCTTCCAAGCTAAGACAGAAAGAACTCTCAAGATTGAAATTTAAAAAAAAAAAATTCTGAGGCTCTGAAGATCGTTTCCAATTTTCTGAGCCAAAGCAGAAAGAACACTCAAGATTGTTTAAAAATTTTCAAAAAAAAAAAATTCTGAAGCCCCTAAAGTCATTTCAAATTCCGAGCTAAGACAGAAAGAACCCTCAAGATTGTTTAAAATTTTTCCAAAAAAAAAATTCACAGGCTCCTAAGATCGTTTCAAATTCTTCAAGAAAAAAACACCAGAGGCACCCAAAATCGTTTCAAGTTCATACAAGCAAAGACAGAAAGGGCTCTCAAGATTGTTTCAAATTTTTCCAAAAAAAATCAGAGACTCCTAAGATTGTTTCAAATTCTTCCAAATTAATACATCAGAGGCGGCCAAAATTTTTTCAA